AGGGCATGCATTCTACTCTGAGTTCAGATTTACACTCCATGTGTGCTGAGACTGTTGCAACAATGTTGTAGCTATGTGCGACCTAACCGGCAAAACATGTCATCATGCTTGGTGCAGTAAGTTACTTCATTTATAGATATAATTCAAGCCTTAAGCATCTATGGAATTCAGGGATCAGTCCTCATACCAAGCATTGCTTGTGTGAGCTACAACTCTTCCCATCTGATTCTGCAATGCCAGGTTAACAACAGAACTTTGGTGGCAAAGGCTCAATGGCGGGGTGGTGCAATGCCCACACAATCACACCCTCCGACATCAGCTGACCTGACACGGCTGCCGCCGCTGGACACAAGCCTTATCTATCAAGGGCACACATCGAGTACCTAGAGCAACTTGAATTTACCTAGCCACTGGTGGGGTGAATTAAAAGGCGGCCACTCTCATTAGCTGAGCCATTGGGACATACTGACTGTTGCCTTGAATCCCTCGCTTGAATGCTCGAAACCCAGACTACAACTTGAGACAAATTTCCACAATAATTTTTGGGCATAAAAAACTACTGATGTAAAAACCCTTAATCACTTTTACAGGATAAGCTAGCCAAAACATTACTTTTCCGTGCACCAATAGTGGGGTGACCATGCAGCGTGCATTAGATATTGATCACTTAACAGTTTTCATTTCAGTCATATTAATACACTAATACTTCACAAACGATAAAATTCACCTTACCGTTCTGATAGCACACAATTAAAACCTCTACTTCGCAGATTGTTTACCTGGTGGTCAAGCGTCGCCATGATTGCACCCAAAAGGACGTTTACAGCGTTGGGCAATCATAAGAAGAATATGCTCTCCACTCCGCCTAGGTTCATCGTGCTGAGGTAAATTGTGTTTTGCTCTTAAGGTGTGAATTTATATTATTTGACAATAACAAAACACAATTAATTTCATACAATGATTCATGTATAAAGGATGATATCTAGTAAAATGGACGTATATTGCCTAGGTAAAATAAAATACTGCTTGGAGCACGCAAGTAAAGAAATCCCTAAAATGCTGACACGTGAAATAAAGCAGGCGGATGTACTAAAAAATGAAATCCTGTCACCTACTGCTACAAAAAAGCATATTCATGTATGTACACCAGTACCAGTGATTTATCTTTTTCCCGACGCATCGTAATCTTGCTTTACTAAAATTTAGGTTACAATTATCAAACATGAGAATGATAAACGCCGTGATCCGTTGGCCCGTTCAATTCAACACTTGCCATTTTAGCCAATGATACGGCAATCCACATTCTTTCTTAGCGTGCATTTTCTCGTAGTAGTCATCCGGCCGGCATCGGGCAGGTTCCGTGGCTGTCGGGAGGGCGGGCCACTCTGTAGCGCATTATGGTCGTTCGCATTACCAAGTTAGCCGGACCACGAGTGGCCCACACAGGTTTTCGCGCATGGGCCTTCACGAGTGCGGTTAAGGATGCGACCCAAGCCCAGCAGCACAGGAGGCGACGGTTACGTGCGAATCGGTCGATCCTAGTTGTGTGATGTTGGCGCTGTGTCATTATGCGTGCATAAAGAAAGGGAGAGGAACCGCATCACCTTTTTTTTCGGCGACCCGACCGGAGTGAAACAGAAATGGCGCAACACATCATATGATGAAGAGATCAATTCTCATGCTCAGGACCGACCACTTGCGATAAAAATGCGTTATATTCGTTAAAAAGAGCGTGATTGGCAGATTCCATTTTTAGGAGCATTGATAGTACCTGTAAATGAAAATCTTGTGTCTCCGAACGTGCAGTTCTTGTCATGACAGTTACGGACATGTCAGCAAAAGGCGAGTTGCGTTGCGAACACGTCCGGCAGTGATTATACTTGACGTTACGTGGAGCATTCTTGGTGCGCCGAGAATAACCCATAACGTTGGCACTGTAACTTGGGCTCACTGAACGCTCGCGCTCAAGTGCCTGGGGTAGTCTGCTGTCAGTCAGCCCGGGTGGGGGCCAGAGCGGGGAGCTCCAGGTGTGAACTGGAGCCAGAAATGTATGGGTGTGCGTGCCAGTACACCTTTACAGAACTATATCGTAGTCCCACAGAGCGAGCAACAGAACGTCATGGCAGAACCCCATCGCGCCCATATGGGGCTTGCCTCCGTTCTTGGAGTGTTTTCTGACTGGGAATGTCGACCACTCTCAGGGAGACGGTCTTAAGGTGTGCATGACGCGACTCCGTCACCCAACGTCATCCGGCAGACGCCCGTGAACCGTCGCCGTCTCGTAGCATACCTGAACGTCCGTGACAGAGGGTAGGCGCGGACCTGTTCGTCACTCGAGCTGAACAACCCCGTGTTTCTTATTCTGGTGAAATTTCAGCAACTATGTGAGAGCACCCCTCCTGTTCTATATGCTAACTGCCAGGTAGGTGTGATGTCTTTCTGGTCATTTTGCTGAGCATGACATTTCGGAGGCGATATCAGCGACGACGTGCCGCAGTCGTTGGTGCCGAATTCAGGA